AAAGAATTCAGCATAGTGGTTGATCTGCACCTTGAAATGTAGGGATAGTAAAAGAAACTCTTCTTTAGCCCAGGTTCACTCAGGATCTTTGTCTAGTTAAAAATAAACCCCCTGAAGCAGGACTTAAATTCAGCCTGGCTTGCCTCTGTGCTAAGGATGGAGCTCTCAATAGACCCTGCTGGGCTACTGGAGACAACTTAAACAAAACTTGCATTAAGCACCTGTATAGATAAAATATGGAATTAAAGACGTAATTCATAGTGTAATTACTACAGATCTCTGGCATGGCAAAAGCAGTGCATCTTGCCCAGCACACTTCTTCCAATAACTTGCTTTTTCAGTGAATAATCTGAATTTCTTAAACCCAACATTGTTCCTATGCTGATAGACCCAGCAACAACCATTCAGAAAAATCTCTTCAAATAAGTAACTGACAACAGATCTGCTTCTCCTGTGTGTTCTTGACCATAAAAGGATGTATTTAAAATACAAGTAATTTGGAAAGGAGAACACATTATGGTTAGCTTGTTCTTAAATAAAAACCTGTTTCTTTCAAAGCAAAGCTAGGCAGTGCCTGCCAGTTCTCTAACATGCTGCATGTTAGAGCATGAAGTGAGAAACTTCAACTGAAATATTACTGAAAGGAGGGTTTTGTGGTTAGTAAATAATACCTCCTTTGGAGAATTGTGGGCTGGCTGCTCCTGTTCTTGTAGCAGAGGGATTGACTGAAACACCTCATTCTTTGTAGCAGCATGCTGGCTCTAGATGCTGAGTGAATCTAAGGAGTTGGTGATTGAGGGCCCCTCTGAGGGATGCCACAGCAGCCCAGCATTCCCCTCTGCACACAAGGAGCTGTTTCAGCAGTGCAAGATGACACTCTGCCACTGCCCCGGGAAACAGATTTGCATTGCAAAAACTACCTGAGCCTGCCATTGTGAAATCGCTCCCGGTGCTCCACGATCCATAAAAGAAGCCCAGCTGAACCGGGCAGGATGAGCCTCACCCAAGCTTCACGCAGCAAACAGCTCCAGGAGCCAGAGCTGGGGAGCAGGAAATGTGTGGGAAAGCCATCTGGTGAAGGCACTCAGAAACAGCGTGGAAGTCTTTTCTCATTCACTTCCTGACAAAGTAGTAATATGTTGTCTCATTATAGGAAGATGACTGCTTGTTATTATTATTTGTATTAGTAACTCCTAGAAGCCCAAAGGTGGGGACAGGACTCTTGCTGTGCTACCTGCTGTGGGCACATGTAAGAGGAGACCTTTCCCTATACACACTCCTCCATAAAAGGACAGAAGGCATAGGATTGTGGGTTTTGTGTTTTTCTTTTTTCTTTTTCTTTTTTTATCCTCGTGGGGAACTGAAACAGATGGGAGACACTGAAGGAGCTGGAAACAGAACATGTAATAATTCCCAAGCCTTGACTTTCTCAGCAGAACTGTTCTTTGCCTCATACTTTAGCTCTGAGCAGTTCTGGTGAGTGGTTTGTACCCTGGCACACTGCTCATGAGGAGCTCTTCAGTTCTCCTTGGTAAACTTGGCATTTAGCTTGGTGTGGACACACTGCTGAGAGCTCCTGCACCCTTTGCTGTGCTGAGGCAGGGGGAGGGAAATCAAAGCAATGTGCAGAAGGGATTTTAATCATCATGTAGCAAATTAAAAAATACTGTGGAGGTCTTAAACTTGCTCTTTGGCATTTCAATCATGTCTTTCATCATGTGCTCCCAGTCCAGCCAACCAAATTTTCCCCAAGGTTTAATGCTGCTCTAACCTCAGGCAGTATCTTTGTTCTGCTAAAAGCAGAGAACCAAAGGCTGTATTTCAAGAGGAGGCAAAGTTCCTTATAGCCTACTTACTATTATTAGATATTTAAAGTTCTCCTATATCACCACCTCATTGGAAGTCCTCAAAACTTTTTAAGGACCTTATTTTAGCCTCTTGGTGACAGAGGCAAGAGGCTAATTTTTAGATACTAGAACAGACTTAAAATTCCTATCCTTGAGTTTTCCTTATCAGTCTTTGCTGGAACTGATGATGGATTTTTTCAGTCCCAGGCAATAATTGCAAGACAGAGCTTTCCAGGTCCCCTTGCTGTCCTTGTGTGGGTGTGTGTGCTTGGTTGGTTGGCATTAGTGCCAGGTTTAGACAAAGTGAGTATGTGTTGGCTTTTCATCTCTGGGGAAGGCAGAGTTTAAAAAATGTCCTAAGGACTAATTAGTTGGTGAAAGTGTGGCAGCAGCAGGAAGGAGGAGGGGCAGGATGGAGGAGATGGTGGCTGCTGCCCTGCTTTGAGATAAAAGAGGCTGAAGCCCAGGGAATCCAGAAGAAACAAGCAGGGGTATGTGGGCTGGCAGCTCCTGAGGCTGACTGTCATTTAACACACAGAGCCTCATGCCAAGGGGATACCTTCTCCAGGAGTGACATGATCAAGTGTTGTTAAGTGGGGCCACGAGGTGTTAATGCTAAAAACTGTAGAAATTCAAATTTGAGGAGCTTCTAGTGTAGAACGACTACCAGAGAGAAGCCTGTCTTTGTGTCCTGAGTGAAGCAGGATGGGGCAGACTTGAGGCTCTGAATAAGGCTTTCATCACCTTGTCCCAGACTTCTCATGACCCTCTGCTCCCAAACAACCCGCGGTGACACAAATGCAGAACCAGGAACACAAGGATGATAGCAGCAACGCCTTAAACATCACAGAAACTGTAACAGCATCTCTTTGTGGGGCTTTTCCTCCTCAGTGCTCAGTTCATGATCCCAGGAGAGACTCCAGCCTATGGCAAGCACATCCATGCAACCCTTATTTGTCCTTTTTATTAATTGGAAGCCTAAGTGGTAACAGGAGCCAGAACTACATGGGTGCAGGGTTCAGGCAGTGCCACTGCCTCAGGGATTATTACATGTGTAACCTCTTCAGAAGAAGAGACCAGACACATGAGACTGTAAATACACTATGGAGCAGCAAATATGGAATATTAAGCAGCTAATATAATGCTAAGATTTTAAAAAGCCTCAGCTAAAGCCCTGAGAATGACAACAGATTGTTCCATACTCTCTTTCAATTTGTCCAGGTTTTCCTGACTGTGGGAAGACTGTTTACCCCCTTGCTATACTCACTGCTGTGTTTGAGTTACTGGCAAGTTTTGGCCAGGTGACAAACTCAATGAGCACTGAATCGTGCCTCGGCAAACATCAGCTCTGTCTCTATCAGAGCTTATCTGCATTGGAGAAAAACTGTCCTCCAGGCTGGGAGCAGGGCTGGGCTGCAATGGGAAGGGGAGCAGCAATACTCAGCATTTTTGAATATGGCAGTTCTGAAGTGGGTCAATGAAGACCATTTCTGGCACTAACAGGGAGTTAAGGGAACAAAACCCATGCTTGGACACCACATGCTGGTAAACTTGGTGGTTCCTCTGACAAGGCTTTGTGGAGTGGATCTCTCAGCATCTGGCTGTGAGAGGTTCCTCTAGCACAAGTATCACGTGAGGATAATCCCATCTGTTTTAAAAGCCCAAAAAAAGCTGTCTGGTTTGCCTCTCCCACCTTCCAGTATGTTCTTCCAGTTTATGCTTATGCTGGGACAATAACAAATCTTACATTCCCCAGCCAGTGACAGAAATCATACATACACAGAAGGAGCCAAGTTCTTAGCCCTGGATAAGAAACCTGACACAACACAGGGCTTGTGCAATCTTGGGTGGAAACCCTCATCCATAGTATATATGGAATAAGCTCTGTCCAGAGAAAAGGTGAAAGATTTGTAGCTCACTTGGGACACATTGCTTTAAAAACATGAATAAACTTAGCAGCATTCCTGAGCTAAGGAAGATCAGGTCTTTTGGGGTTTTTTTTTCCTCTTTTTTTTTTTAAAGTTAGTTAACTAAATTGGAATGAGTGACTTTTTAAATTCTTGACAAGAAAATCTACAGTGGAATAAGGAGTGATTTCCTCAAGTGTCAGTACAGAGTGTCATACCCAACACCAGCTCCTCTCACCTCCAGAGGCACAGAACAACTGCATACACAGCTTGAGTGAAGGCCTGCACATCTGACCCTCTTCAGAGTCCTCTGATCCTACTGTTGTGGTTGAGGTGTTCACTCTTCCATAAGCAAAATCCCTGTGTCAGCCTCAGAGACTGAGCTCTGACAGAATTTAGTCTGAGAGAGGTTCTTAGAGCATGAGGTGGGCCTCTTCAGCCTGAATCTGTGTGGTTTTGTTCTATGCTATTTTGGGAATAAGCAACTGCTAACAAGCAAATGATTTTGTCTGCTGGAGTAACTGTGTTCTCAAGCATTAAAATTATGGTTTGTACTAACTGTCCAGTGGGGAGGAAAAAAATCAAGGCTCTTAATTCCAGAAGACAGGTTAACTTCTGTGAGAAGGAGGCAGAAACTGTTAAGTCTTTTGCTGTCAGAAAGAAACTCATGCTGCAAGTATTCAGTCAATTAGGCTGATTTGTAGCAGCCTCACTATAAATCCTCTTTCATTCAGAGGCAAGTTAAGCTCTTTGATGAAACATGGCATTCCAAGGAATTTCAGTAGGTTCTCACACATCTAACCATGGCAAAGTTATCTGTAGTGACACACCATCTGAGAATGACATGGTATGTTCAATTCTACAACATTACAACCAATGTATCTCAAAAAAGGGAGGCCTGCAAAAAGCCTTTCGCCCCACTGTTGCAGATTAGCCTTCTTCTTGCATGCTAAATTTGTTCAGCCTATTAGTAAATTAGAAACAGATTTTCTACATCAGTTCTTGATACAAAAACAGTTGAGAGAGATAACTATGCAGTAAATGACCACTCAACCCAGAAACACAACTCTTTTGCCAAAGAAATGCATCACTCCTTGGAGGTGTAAAATCAGTTTAAAGGCAGCATGTGTAACATAACCAAAGGCAGAACCCTTTGTTTCCCTGGAAGCTGGAGATTCCCCACTCCTGTGCCCCAGAGGGGGATGGCAGCTGTCCCGTGCCCAGCTGTGCCACCCAGCTGACTCACCCTGCTGAGCTGGTCCAGGAGTCTTTGGTTCTGCTCGGAGAGTTCCTGGACAGCGCGCGTCTTCTCGCGGTCGGCCTCGCGCAGGTGGACCTGCTGCTTCTCCAGCTCGTCCTGCAGCTGCTTCACGTCGCTCTCCAGCTCTGACACCCTTCCTTCCCACTCGCCCTCCTTGTTCTCAAATCGCCGCCGCAGCTCGTGCTTCTCTTGCTCCAGGTGCTACATGATGGGGGAGAAGGGGTTAGGAAGGGAGGGAAAAAAGGTGAATGTCTCCTTTTCCTCCTCTATGCTTGGGCTAAAACCTCATGCAGGAAAGAGGACGGTGCTGGAGCGTGACAATGCCATGGAGATAACAATTCCACATCAGGGCAGGTCACTGGCACTAAAGCCAATTTCCATTTCCAGCAATTGGCCTGTCCTTGGCCACTGGAGTTCAGCACATTGAATTTTTACTGAAATAACTGCCAAAAGAGTGAAGTAGGCTGCATGTCAATAGCCGAGATATATAGGCCAGACAGAGCAATTGATTTAGCAGAGCCCAGCTTAACTCCAAAGCAATATTTCAGTGGTCAGTGGCATAATTTTTTAAAAATTGCCTTTATAGTCAAAATACACAAACTATATACCCTTACTGTTGGTGAGGAATGTAGATGAGGCATCCTTGTTGTCATATGGGTCTCATGAACAACAGTTGAATCATCTATCCATTTGCTTCTTCTATTCCTGACCTAATTAGTTGTCTGAGAGTTTGATAGCGCACAGTAACTCCATTGTTTGATGCAGCCTGCTCTGGAATGGCAATGGATGCAATGAACTGGTTGCTATAGACATTATGTATGTCCATGTTCTGGGTTCAGGTTTCTTAGAAACCACTCTCAGTTCTGGAGACTCTGCTTGGCTTTGGATTGGCTGGAAAATGAGGGACAGCACCAATCTGGTGAAACTTTTGCATGTTTTACAGGCTCAGTTAAATGAGGGCTTGATTGAAACAGAGCTGCAAATCAGGTCAAAGCAGATTTATGTTGTGCCCATTTGAAAGAATCCCTGCTCCAAAACCCTGAGTTTGAATTTCCCTTGGTGGCTGAAGACACACATTTACTTTCAGAACAGTCACAGATTGGGGACATGGGCATGTCCCAGGATCAGCAGGGAAACCTGAAAAATGGGAGTCCTCTCCTTGTTGGTTGCCCTCTGATCCCCAGAATATTCTCCTGCTACTCTCTATCAGATTCCCCAATCTTTAGGGAATGTGTCTTAGAAAAGAACAGAAACCCACTGGGCCAAACACTGGTAGCACTTGCCTATTTCTCCCAGGTGAATTGTTCCCTCGTGAACAATTCCCATGGCACTTCTGATAGGAGGGAAAAATAAACCTGCTAGGTGGAAAAGAAAATTGCACTGCATTTATGTGAAGTGGCTTTTTATTGCTTGTTAGAAACACAGGCTGTGAGGGGGCTGTTTCCCCTGGGTGCCTATTGCTGATGACACACAGCCTCCTTGGCAGGGTCCCTGTCACCTTCCCAAGCAGGTCTGAATGTCAAAACCCTCCAGTACCTCTCCAGCTTCTGGCCTGTGTATTGCTAATCTTCCACCTTTTTTTTGCTCTGCCACACAGATGCCATGTTTTCTCTTTCTTCACCTGATCCCCAAATCCTTTCCTATGCTCCTTCCAGCTCAGTGTAGCAGCATGTTGCTTATGCCTTCAAATCCTTCTGCAAATTTCAGACTTTCCTGAAAAACCCTTAAATATGAGGGAAAGTTGATTAAAAACAATGGTCCATAGTAGGGGATTTCCCCATGTTTCAGCTCTAAAAGAATGAGCATCCTTGCAAATGAGAGCTAAGCAAAAATATAAATATTTTAGTGCAATAGGTAGGCATGAGATCCCAGCACCTGGCCCATGACAACCATTGCAAAGAAATCTTGTTTGTAGTCCAAGTGTGGCTGGAGCAGCCACAATTTCACTTTCAGCAGCACACTGAAAATTCTGTCTTTTATAGCTCTGCCTCTTTCACTGCTAGGCAACGTTTAGAAAGATCCAGGGCCTTCTCTAAATGGAAAGTGGAACTTCAGCCTGCTGAGAAGCAGCACTGCAGCTGAAGTGCCCCAGACACCCAAATGTGATTTAGAAGCCACCGATAAGCCTTGTCAATCATTTAAAAAGCACTTTAGTTTTTCACTGGAAAAGAAAACCACTACAGAGAGCCCCAATAATTGGCCATCACAAAGGCTGGCATTAGAAGAAGGTGAAGAATATGAAGTTTATTCTGTTGTGACAGAGAAACCAGAGCAGAGCAGGGGGGCACAGAGAGGCTGTTGCAAAGAGGAGAACCCAGATGAGATGTGTTGACTGGTCCCTCCTGCTTCTGTCAGCAGCCATCTCTCCTGGCCTGCCCTCACCCCAGCACCTGCAGGGCTGCAGGTCTGGAGAGGGGATTTCTGCACCTAGTGCTGATAGGGCAAACTGCTGGCCTCAGTAGGGGAGTTTCTTGTTTCCTGAGTGTCTCTCCATTCACCAGCTGCTCACTGATTTTTAAACAGAACTGCTTTCTAGAAGATGTTTTCTTCTGAAAACAGCTTCTCTTCAACTTAACTGAGCTGGGCTGGTCCTCATCTGAAGAGATGAAAGCAAGAGGGAGTTTCCCAGCTGATAAAAAGAGGGTTCATACTGTAAAATGCTTGGACACAGCAGGCTCCTCTGTGTCAGAGGAACAGCACTATTAACTGTTTTAATCCCTTAGAGAGGATAAAACTGTCTAGGATCACATATCAGAATTTATTACAGAACTTCAATTTCATGATTAGAAATGAATTTAAATTCAGGCTGTGAAGTGCCAGAATAGGTGCATGGCAGGAATGCTGTACCTCAGCAATGAACCCACAAAAGTAGAACGTATTTAATCTTGAGGCAAAGCACCCAACAAGCAGACCAGGACCTTGGCTGTTGTGAAATGGAGAGGCTTCACTGAGCTCTTGTAACCCATTCTGAACTGTGAATTGGGACAAAATATCTCCTTTTAAGTGTTAAACATCATTATATCAGGTTGTCACCAAGGACATTTGAGACTGCTTTGTGTCACTATCAGAAAGTTCTCAGCACAGGGAAGGAGGGAACAGCTGTGGGTCCTTCCTCTCTGCTCCTCTGAAATAAAAAAGCTTATTGTGAAATTTTATTCACTTCAGTGGCAACAGGAGGAGGCCGAGATTTAATCTGCAGAGGCTGGGATTATCAAGCTTGTGTTTTAGAAGATTAATGTTGAAATTTGATTTTTTGTGTGAAGCAGCACTGGGTTAAATTTGCCAAACACAATGGAAAAAAAAATGCCCCTAAAGTAGATAACACTAACTCCTCTCAAATGGGTAGCCTGGAAAATAGCAATCTGTTATTCCACTGGGAAGTTAGGGCGATAGTAATGGGATGAAAATATGTAAACAGCCAGTTGTGTTTACAATCTCTTCATTTACCTTCTGAATGGGCCTGTGAGAGCAGAGGTAAACATTTGTGGGATGTTATTTAAAGTACTATACAGTCATAGCTTCTCCCCTTTCATTTTCACCTCTACATTTTGCAAGCGCTGAGTGGTATTTGAGGTTCCTGAACTCTCTAAGAGGCAGCTTGTTGGGTACCTAAACTTGTGCATTTTTCCTTTAATGGTAGGAAAGGTTCTACTCCAACTCCTAAGGAAAACCATGTCAGCACAACACCACGTACGTCTGTTCTTGCTTAAAGATCAACCTGGAAGCATTCACTCTGGCAAATTTTAATACTCTGGGAAATTCTCATCTGATAAACAGAGCCAGTAAGCAACAATTTGAGCAAATGTCACCTTCACTATTTTTTTATTAAAATAGCAAAGGCAGAGAGATTCCCTTGCAAAAAGGAAGGGATCAGTTGAGGTAAATGACAAGCTTAATAAGAAAGAGGAATTTTTGTCAGGAGAACAAAGGGCATACAGTAATTTCACAAATCCTCTTGAACTTGAGAAATGTTAAGTCTGTGAGGAAGGAATACAGGAATATGCAGGACTGTGCAGAAAGGTCTAGGGCTGTGACTTGAAATGTGAATGTTAATCCAGCACTGTTCAAACTCTCTCCAGAAAGGTGAGAGAGGCTTTCCTCAGCCTTCTAAGCAGTATTACTTCTTGGAAGAAATACAATTTCAAGAGTAGCTATGAGGAAGAGTGAATAATAGTGGTTCTCTCAGAATTGTGCAAGAGAGTCGTTAAAAAAAAAAAAAAAGCTGCTAGCACAAGTCCTTTTCTTTGTAATAGCTCTATTTTATCTTAAAAAAAAATCAATAAATAGCTCAACCCCCCCGAGTTCCTTGCAAACAGCTCTCTCTAGATACCTGTAGGCATTTTTTAGAGCAAACGGCTAACAGCGATGTATCAGTAGGGCTTATCTCCTGCCATGCCTAAAGCCTTAGCTGCAACAGCTTAAGCATAAGGGTCACATATGCTCTGTAGCTCAGTACCTGCTGTGCAAATTTAACTTCCGAGGTATTTCTGTGACGAGATGAGCCGCGCACATCTCTCCCAGGTGGTCCTGGGGCAGAACAGCCCCCCAGGAGCCTCCGGAGCGCGGTGCTGCAGCCCGGCCCCGGCCCCGCACGCCGGCTCTGGGCCGGGGGGATCGGGGGAGAACGGCAGCTTTGCCTCCCCCAGGCCTCGCAGGCATTGCTCAGACCCTTTCTTCCCCGTCACGGCCACAGCGCGTCCCGTGGGCTGCTCGGCAGGGCCCGCGCCCGCCGCCGGCGCTCGCCGGGGAAGGGGCCGCGCTGCGCGGGGAGAACCCGCGGGCCGGGGCAGGGGCCGGGGCCGGGCGGAGCGCGGCGGGGCCTCACCTCCAGCTTGTCGGTGAGCTCCTTGTGCATCCTCTCGTACTGCCGGCTCATGTCCTGGTTGCGCTCCAGCAGCGCCTTGCCCAGCCGCGCCGCCAGCACCAGGTCCTTCTCCTTCTGCCGGATCAGCGAGAGCAGCTCGGGGTCGCGGGCGGCGGCGGCGGGCGGCGGCTCCGGCGGCTCCCCGGCGGCGGCCAGCAGCGCCAGCTCCTCCTCCAGGGCCAGCTCCAGGGCGGCGGCCCCGGGCGGCTCCATGCCGCCGGCGCTGTCCGCCTCCGCCGGTGCTGACCCGGCGGCGGGCAGGCGCAGGCACGGCGCCGACATGGCCCTGCGCGCCGCCGCCGCTCCGCTGCGCCCCCCGCGCCCGGCCCGCGGCTGCGGCGGCTGGGCGGGGAGCGCCGCCGCCCCCGGCCCCCGCCCCCCGGCGCCGGGCCCCGGCAGCGCATCGCCACCGCCACGGCCACCGCCACTGCCGCCGGCGCAGCCGCCGCCAGCGACACCGGGCCCGGGCGGCGCGGGGGAAACCGGGTCCTGCTGGTCCCGGCTGCCGCGGGCAGGTCTCGCCCCTTCTGCCGCAGGCCCAGGCCAAAAATCCCCCCAAAACATCGGGGAAGTGCCAGGAGGGAATTTGGCACCCCCGAGGGGCACAGCGCGTTCTCCTCGCTCGCCGCCCGATCCCCCAGAGCTCTAGCGGGGCTCTTTCGGTTGCCAGAGCCGCTCTCGGGATCTTTGTGCTCAGTAGTTCACCCCGGAGAGCTGACTACAGCTTCCAACAGCCACCGGGGCTTGCTTTCAATTTCAGATTGTTTGGCATGTTCTCGGGTAACATTTGTCCTAAAGGTACCCTCGGTGAACGTTGGGAATTGTAGTCAGTTCAGCTCCCAGTACTATTCCCTCTATTGGGGGCAGGACTGGTTGGGGTTTCAGTTTTGGTTTTGTTGATTTTTTTAATCTCCTTAGATCCCAGTACAGGAAGGAGGCTGAGGCAGAATACAGCAGCATAAACCTGTATATTGTCACCTTTGCTAAGACCCCATTCCCTCAATTTCTGATTATACTCTAATTTTAAGCAAGGCTTTAACAGTGATGGCACAAAAACATTTTAAAGTGAACTTGTGCTTTTGGTTCCTAGATTCTGCAGACAGGAATTATGAGTTTCACAGCTTTTTTCTTTGTACACTGCTTTCTTGGGGCTTGCTTTCCTTTCCTTCACTTAGACCATGTTCATCTGTATGCAACAGCCCCAACACATCAGTCCAAGGGTGTTTTTGGCTGGGACAATTGGTGACTGATGCAGGTTTCAAGCAGGCCTGGCGTCAGACCCAGGGCCCTGGAGAGCTGCTGATTATTCGTAACAGTTAGAACATGAATTGTGGGAGTGCAAACTTCCCTCTGGCCATCTGCCACCGGGACTTGGCCTTTCGTGGGGATACACCCCACCAGCCCAGCTTGGGGGATCTGTTGATCCTTGGCCTTTTTCTTGGCAGCATCAGTTAACAGCAGTGCTGCTTTTTGATATGTGAGCACCTACTCTCCAAGGACTGGGCAGACTGGTGCCTCGTGCTGCCAGCACCTGTCCCAGCACGGTAACTGTTGGCCCTTATGACCATTGTGATTTTCTTTTCGTTGGTGACCCAGAGGTGGCACCTCCTTTATCTCACAGCAATTCCCCCAGGCACTGACTTTTCTAGTCCTTTTGTCCTTGCAGTTCCACAGACGCTTACACTGCTGGAAAGAAGGATTGACCATAAGGTGAGATGGTTTGGACAATATTGGCCCTTTTAAAAGAATCCCTGTCCCAAGAGGAGCTGTGATTGCACAGATTTGATCATCTCTATTTAAACACAGGAGGGCGTTTAATATTTAAACTGATTGTGAGCACCTTCTGCTGGAAGTGCCTACTACAGCAAACCAAGCCTCCTGGTGTGATTAATGAAATCCATTGTGGCATCAATTTTCATCTCTAATGCTTCCTTCAGTGTATAAAACAAAAAGAGATTATACTGAGATGGTTTTAATCTCCCAAACAAAGCCTGAAACAAACCCCATTGCTGCATCTGTTAGGAGAGGGATGAAGAAAATCTATTGCTTGGATGGAGAGGGAAAAGCACATATAAATCAGTGAAATGTATTGTAAATATGCCACCATCTTAGTCAGGCCTCTATACAAGCTTAATGTTCTTTTGGGGACTATTGACTGCAAAACATAACTGTGTTATCTGGAGCAACCCTGGATTAAAGCTTTGTTTATAGCACAACATATTATTGACTTCCACTTAAAAAAAAAATTAAAAATCCATTGTCCTGTGAATTTAATTATTGGTTTGGCTTTTTAGAAATATGGTATGTTACTGCTTCTAAAACTCCTTTGTATGCTACTTTATTAGTATTTGATTTTGTATGTGTCATCTCAATCAAATACCTATGAAAAACTGCTAAAAATATAACAATGCAGTTTCTTTACAATGAAATGGTGGCATTATCTTTTAGGATCCTAAAATATATTTCAGCTGAGAGCTGCGGCATTTGCTGCCTATAAGTGGACACCCAACTCCCATTTCTGTTCTTCTTGCCCTGCTTCAGCTTGGTTATGTCCTTTGGAGAGCCTCAGCCCAGAAAATAGAAGAACCAGTTATTGGAAACAAGTCAAATATGAGGTTGTTTTGTTTTAATTGCACTGCTGAAGGCTGATGTGAGACTTCACTCCTCAGGTACTGCAATAGTGAGTAGCTCTTGTGGAGATTTAGATCAGGCATTTCAAGAGCTGACACTCTTGAAACACAGAAGCTTTCTGTGTGTACAGAACAAATGATCTTTCAGCCTGGAAATCACTCCAGGGATGGCCCTTTCTGAAAATGCAAAAAGGCCAGACTGACTCAAGCACACAGAGAACCAAGAGCAAGTGACTGATGCCAGTGATGTCATCACAGAGCACAGAAATGTCACCTTGCCCAGGACACACTGCCTTCTTTGTGATATTAGCAAACAAGGGTGAAAATAAAGCATAGGTGTAAGAGAGTGGTGTAAGAGTCTTTGTAAGAGGGTCAATCATTCTTTCCTTGCTCAGATCAAAATCTTGCATAGTTCTGTATAAACTAGAAAGCAAAAGGTTCTATTCTTATGGGGCAAAAGGGTGGCACTGACCTTGCCTCTGAGTAATTTTTTTCCCTTCTTGCTTTTTTCCATCCCACAAGCACTGAATTCAGTAAAAAAGCCATGGGGAGGGTTGGAGAACTTGATTCAAGGAGCCATCCAGGGCATCCTGCCAGTGCAAATTCCCTCTGCTAAACAGGTTCCTAATAGAGCAAGATACTGAAACAGGCAATCCAGCTTAAGCTGTGGATACAGCAGTGGGTATTGTCCTTCCCAGAGGGTCAAGGGGAGGTGAACTCTAAGCTGTGCAGGCTCTTCAAGCCCAGTGTCAAGTATATTGTTAGATCTGATGCTTTGAAATCTGTATTCTGCCTTGCAGGGATTTCACTGGTTGGTTTGCTCACAAAGGAAGTGTGGCAGAGGGTCTGGACCTTTGGTGGTTACACCAACAAATGCTGGAACATGTAGGACTGTATGACTTGAGCAGGACAAAGCATTTTTCACACATCAGGAAAGCTGCAAATCCAATAAATGTCCAAGTGCTTCAATCAATACCTTCACCTCAGCTGTGAGGGCAGCACTCAGATAACAGGCACTGCAAGGGATCATCTTTTTTTGTTTAGAGTAAGGGGAGAAAAAGATGTGTTGTGGGAAAGCCACAGCCAGACCTGTAAAAGTAGGTTATTGTCCTGTGCTTTTAAAGCCGACTGTGGTGAGAAAGGAATTCCCATCAACATCCTTAATCTTCCTGCCAGTGGGCTGACAGACTTCCAGGGGAGGCAGCACAAGCTATCAGGTTTCTTTTGCCATTCTCTCTCTCTGTCTCTTTTTCTCTCTCCCTCCCTGCCCCACTCCTCCCTTTCTGAATGATGAATTGCTTTATTCTTCTCTCCGTTTTTCTGCACTTAATTTTTGACAAATATCTTACGTTTTCTGGTTGTTTGTGTACAACCACAGCCTCAGCCACAGCCTCCTCTGCTGCAAGAGGTGCAGGCAGCCTCAGAGAGTTTGCAGTTACCCTAATGAATAATTAAAGGACATCTGTGTCTTGCTTGCAAAACAGGCCAGAACTGTAAAGCCAGAGATAAGACTCATGTGTGACCTTTCTTTCTCTTTGCTTCTGTAATGTCCAAACCTATCCAGTATGTGTGTGCCCAGCTTCTCCCTGATGCTGAGTAGAGGAAATACAGAATGGGAAGGTGTATTTGCAGAGCTTGGTAAGGGTGAAAAAACCAGAGATTTATTGTTAAACTCTGGAAAGTTTTAAGAAGGGAAAGGAAGTTGTTATGAGTGTTAGCCAAGCAAGATGTAGTAAAAAAAAAGGCCATCCTATTTTTCTCAAGGCTCAGTATCTCCATAGAGTTTCTGACAAGTTTGTTTTTTCCCAGGATTATCAAAATCACATCAGAAAGAACAGAAAGACCACTCATCCACCATGGTGACTCATGGTATTGAAGTCAGGGGAAACATCCCTTGACTGCTAAGGGGGTAAAGCATGGATGACTCAGGAGTGCCCAAGGACAGAACCAACCATGCTGTGCTCACCCTGCCTGTGTGTAAGGAACAGGGGGTGCAAAGGGAAAAGAACAGGAGAACAGTTTGACTTGTAATATGGCATATAGGAGTTAGAGATGTAACTATTTTGTACCATAGGTGTTAGTCTCTGTGAATTGTGAAGTTTGGAAGCATTCTGTAACAGTCTCTCTATACAAAGCTGACAGTGCTGGGAACAAGCAGAACTACTCCAGACCTGGAGGAGTTGCATGGCCAATATTTCAGGCCAGCTTGATCTGTTCGGTATAGTAGAGGAAATGTATTTGAATTTCTGTCTAGAGTCTTTGCCCCAGAGGTCCCAGTTGCCCGTGATGGGCTGCAGCTGCGATGTCCTTAATTGGGCTGCAGCTGTGACCAATGAAGATAACCGGGATAAAAGGGGGTGGGTTAGCCAGTCAGGGAGAGCCTTGGAGGAGCCTTGACCTGAGAAAGAACAACATGCAGAAGAAGGAGTCAGTGAAGATCTGCAGCCATGAGACTACACCAAAGAGGTATGGACTTTAGAAATCTGATAGAACAACAATACGGGACTCTAGAAATAATAGAACAACAACAGTTTGGGGTACCCCACCAACAATTTGGCTTTGGTTCACAGTTGGCCCTGATCTGACACACATGCTGCCTTGCACCTGAGGCTCCTTCTTGGCTTACCATGATCCAGGGAGATTCTGGACACAGGATCCAAGCCGGCT